ATATCCAAAGTGACCAGAGCCGCTTTACCTGGGGGGGGGGGGGGCTGTACCAAATGTTGTTTTTTAAAATGATAAATATATTAAAATAGTTAAAATAACCCGTCAGTGCGTGCCGCGATCAAAAACATTTTATATGCGTTGGATTTTATCTTACAGTTTGATTTAAAGCACAGTATTTGTTTATTCAAACTTTGGGGGTGCGTTCCAATACCAAATACTAGGACACTATAAAGTATTTAACCAGAATTTGTCTTTCTCATGATTTGGGAAATTATTTAGCAATACGATATAATTTTTAAATATGTTTTATTGTCATCAACATGTTTCCTTGCATCTGTATTCGTTATATAGAATTATAAAAAAACATCAAACTTTATTACTCATTTCTGTCTCGACAAAGGCAAGCCAGATTTACTCCTTCCTCTTTTCACAATAAAAGCCCAAAACACACATCATTTTCCAGTACATTTTTTGGGCATTTTCCAACAACGGTATTTTGGTGAAAATATTAAGCACACTTTTTTATCGGTACAGCCCCGTTGCCGTGGTAACCGCAGCTCTGGTTCGCTAAAAAGACAAAAAACGGTGTCACCGCACACACAACGAGTCGTCATGGCGACGCTACACCGGGACACCGCACTAACTGTCCGTGGAAAACACACACACACACACACACACACACACACACACACACACATACACACACACACACAGGACGTCGTCACTAACACACACACACACACACACACACACTCATACACACACACACACAGGACGTCGTCACTAACACACACACACTCATACACACTTCCTCTCTCTCACACACACACATTTATGACACATTTCTAGTTGAGGTGAAAAACAGATTCTATTATTCTTAATTGTCGTAGTTAATCTTCGTAGCAGTGTGTGTAATGAGTGTGTGTGTGTGTCCTCAGTCTGTTTTATAAATACACACTATTAACATGTGACACGCAGAGCTCACTTCTGATTGGCTATCGGGTCTTTTCACCTCTTCTTCTTCCAGGAGGCTTTTATTTTGTACATTTATTTTGTACATTTTTTTGTATCCCCCCCCTGCCCCCCTGCCCCCCCCCCCCTCTGACGCCAAACAGGAAACAGTTTTGCGGGCAGTAAACTCGAGGAGTGTTTGTTTTTTTCACCTGAAAGCACCAGGCGGGAGGAGACTAACAGTCCCTGCGGCTGGGAGCGTCTGATTGGATCCTGGAGAGGAAGCTGGGCCGAGGTGTGGCGGGGAACATATTTATGAATTAGTCCGGGGTGGAGCGAGGAGACGAAACAGCGACTCTGTCAAAATTCTAATATACTTTTCTTAAAACTCGACAAATGTTCTCAATGTTCTCCAAAGTCTAACACGTTGTTCTCATAACTTCGTGAAGAAATCGAAACGTCTCCCGTCTTCAGACTCTCCCCTAAAATAATCTCCCAGCATGCCTCTGGCCCGGCCCCCCCCGCAGCGCTTCCTGTGTGTTGTTGTTTTTGTTGTTGTGTGTCAGTGTTTGTTCAGGACGCTGCGTGGCACCCAGCCCTCGGCGGCCGGGGAGTCGCTGTTGGCCGGCCGGTAGACGAGACTCTGACCCTGCTGGTTCGATGCCAGGATCTGAACTTTCTCTCCACGAAGCACCGAGATCTCGTCCTCCCGCACGGCCACGAAGTCCGACTGAACCAGAACCAGCTCCTAAAGGTCAGAGGTCACAGTTAGAGCTCAGCTAGGCTTTGACAGTCATACGCAAAGAGACCGAAACTGGATGGGTGCGTTTTAATACTCATACTACAAAACTATTTCTTCGTTATTTTTGTCAAAAGTTATAATAAGTGTCATATTTTCTATTCATTTACTAATAATTTAAATGTTCCACAATCTTTTATATTATCTCATCATTTAGATGTTACCATGACTTCACTCTACAACCCATCAGTATAATAAACTCAGGCGACTCACCTGGTCGTCCTGCTCGTTGTCGGTTGGGGGGGCGTGTCCGTTGGGAGTGGGCGGGGCTGACGGCGGTCGCCCTGACGACAGAGGGCGAGTCACTGAGATCCCGCCCTCTTTCCTCTGGTACTCGATGGGAGACTGGAGCGCTGAGGAAACACAACGTGGTGCGTTCAGGGACTCGTGGAGGAATGCAAGAACAACAACATGGAACATTTTTTTAAAGGATTTTTAGATTATCTTTGAGGACGTTTTAAAGGGAAATGTGGGATGTGTTGCTGACATGTATCCGGTTCAGATACTTCAGGATGTTTAAAGGAAGATTTGACAATGTTTTGAATGTAGTTCAGAATATCTTAAAGGATATTTGAGGATGTTTTAAAGAAAGATTTAAGGATGATTTGAGCATAAATGTCAAGCTGTTGTAAAGGGATATTTGAGGGGATTTCAAAGGGAAATTCAGGATGATTTAAAGGGTTTTTGAGGATAATTTTAAGGTGATTTGATGACGATTGAAAGGGAGATTTGAGGGGATTTTAATGGGGTGTTTGTGGATGTCTTTACCTGACAGGAAGTAGTTGTGAGTGTGTTCTCACCTGACAGGAAGTTGTTCTGCGCGTCCAGCAGCGTGCCGATGGTCTCCGTCCAGGTGTTCTTGATGGAGTCGCAGGACGCCTGCAGGGTGAACCTCTCCGGAGAACCTCTGGACCACAGAACCAGCTTACAGGGTTCTCCGTCCACGACGTCCTGCATGGCCAGGTAACTCACCTGCACACACACCATGGTTACTGCCAGTGAAGCGGCCAAATCATAACAAATATAAAACAGAACGAGAACTCAAAACAAAGTCAGCGAGTCTGACGCACGGGGTACTAAAGGTCCGGGATTATACAAGCGCAACAGCTCCTTTTCCTTTTGTCATGCCTCGTGTTTGCCTGATGGTAAAACACCTACCGGGTCCCTTTCCATCACCTGTTTCCCAAATATAGAATCACCTAAGAACTGCCTTCTCAAAACAACTAAGTCGATTAACTTGAATAAAAACAACAATAAAATAAATGGATAACTATGAAATAATAACAGTCTGTATATGGCTCCATCTCCCAGCATGCACCACACAGACTCGTGTTAACCCAGTATAGAGCAGTGGTACCTTGATGCTGTTCTTGAACTGGTACCCCGGGTTGTTGGACCCTTTGCGCAGCAGCTCGCTGAAGATGATGATCTGCTCGAACAGGAAAACACGGCGCTCTTTACTGCGAGATAAAACCCTCTCGTCCTGCTCCGACACACAGAAGGTCTCCTGCTGCAGCAGCTTCCCCTGGGACGTCAACTTCCCCTGGAACAGAAACACATCAGGGTCACTCAGTTCTTCAGGGACTATCAGACAAACACACACAATCCAGGATGTTGAAAAAGCACCTATCTTCAACGTGGTTCAGAAAAGACAAAAAAAGAGGCAAATAACACGAAAACTTCACCTAAAATAAAAAAATAATTTTTTAAAAGCTCCCAAAGATAAAAATATAATTGCAAATGTGATTAAACATCTCGATAACCTATTTCTGTTACTTTTGGGGTTCCTCAGGGCTCTACCCTCGGTCCTTTACACTTTTATTTTTGCATCATTCATTGGTTCGTCGTGCGGACAGGTGGACAGGTGGACAGGAGGACAGGAGAACAGGAGGACAGGTGGACAGGAGGACAGGTGGACAGGAGAACAGGTGGACAGGTGGACAGGTAGACAGATGGACAGGTAGACAGGTGGACAGGTAGACAGGTGGACAGGTGGACAGGTAGACAGGTGGACAGGTGGACAGATGGACAGGTGGACAGGTAGACAGGTAGACAGGTGGACAGGTGGACAGGTGGACAGGGGGACAGGTGGACAGGTGAGCAGGTGGACAGGGGGACAGGTGAGCAGGTGGACAGGGGGATAGGTGGACAGGTGGATAGGTGGACAGGAGGACAGGTGGACAGGTAGACAGGTAGACAGGTGGACAGGAGGACAGGTGGACAGGGGGACAGGTGGACAGGAGGACAGGTGGACAGGAGGACAGGAGGACAGGTGGACAGGAGGACAGGAGGACAGGTGGACAGGTGGACAGGTAGACAGGTAGACAGGTGGACAGGTAGACAGGTAGACAGGTGGACAGGTGGACAGGTAGACAGGTGGACAGATGGACAGGTGGACAGGTAGACAGGTAGACAGGTGGACAGGTGGACAGGAGAACAGGTGGACAGGAGGACAGGTGGACAGGAGAACAGGTGGACAGGAGGACAGGTGGACAGGAGAACAGGAGGACAGGTGGACAGGTGGACAGGAGGACAGGTGGACAGGTGGACAGGAGGACAGGAGAACAGGAGGACAGGTGGACAGGAGGACAGGTAGACAGGTGTACCTCGTATCCCTGCAGCCTCCCCAGGTTCATCATGTCGTTGCAGCGCTTCGGGACCAACGACATCAGATCCACCGCTTTCTGCACAGGAATGTTGGTTAGTCAAACCGGTTCACCTGGTCTGCTGTCATGCTGAATATTTCAAATGTTTAGACTTCAGTCTCACCTCGATCTCCTCACAGTCGAGTCCTGCTTTCGACGTGTACTTGAGGAAATCCTGAAACACACATAAAGGTGTGTTAAAGTAACCCCTCACAGGATACAGGTGTGTGTGTGACCCCTCACAGGATACAGGTGTGTGTGTGACCCCTCACAGGATACAGGTGTGTGTGTGACCCCTCACAGGATACAGGTCACAGGATACAGGTGTGTGTGTGACCCCTCACAGGATACAGGTGTGTGTGTGTGTGTGTGTGTGTGTGTGTGTGTGTGTGTGTGTGTGTGTGTGTGTGTGTGTGTGTGTGTGTGTGTGTGTGTGTGTGTGTGTGTGTGTGTGTGTGTGTGTGTTGTAATGAACTCACCTTGAGCAGAAGCTGGTATTTGGTGATTCTCTGGATGGGTTTGATCAGGTAATCACTGATGGACATCCTGCAGCTGATCTCGTGCTGGATCTCCTACACACACACACTTATTGGTATAACTCTAAT